CTGAATAAAGCAAATCTAATAAACAAAAAACTTAATTTAAAGTAATTTGTATTTTGTTATAAATTGAAAGATTGGTGTCAGCCAATTTTAAATTGATTCGATAAAATAAACCACATGATATGCATTGTTGCTCTCCCCTATTTTGTCATCCATAATCCATATAATTAACCAAACCATTAATTTATAAAAGAAATAAACATCCGGGAAAACAAATAATAGTTACACTTCCCAAAAGTGGATGTTTTAAAACTGCAGTACATGCAAAAAAGAATCTTATTCCACTTAAAAATCTGTAGTTGAAGCAACTCATGATTTCATTCTACCAAGACAAATGTTATTTTAGTTTAGTCTAATATCAACAATAGCAATTGCTAAAAGAATAATTAGAATTTTATAAATTGACACTTGAAGGTACAGAAACTACATAATTTCTGAACTTACACAACTTAAAATAAAATTAAATTAAATTAAATTTTAATTTAGTCCAATTTAGTAAAAAAAACTTTATTTACCAAACCAAAGTTCTGTAAATTTAGAAACCATATAACCATCCCTGTAAGTGTAAATTCATAGAAGTCCAATTGTTCTCTCAACGAACACTACTGTCAATATGCACCTTTTCTTCTAGTTTTTCCATCAATCTCTTCAGCATGCATGCTGTCAGCCGGCTACCGTCAATATGCACCTTTTCTTCTAGTTTTTCCATCAATCTCTTCGGCATGCATGCTGTCCAGCTGACTCCATTGTGGAGTCTAGCTCTTTCAGAAAGAGCTCTTTCCGAAATCAGCTTTATAATCATAGCAGTAGTAGCATCAAACCCTGGAAGGAAGCCAATCAAAGCCCAGAAGGAAGCCGATCAAACCCTGGAAGGAAGCCGATCGCAGCCGTGCGAGCCGATCGCGAGTCACATCAAACCCTAGCAAAGAAAGGCAGCAAGAAGCCGATGAGTATAGCCGTATCAAACTGACGAGCAGGAAAGCCGATGAGAGTATAGCCGACGAGCAGGAGAAGCAAGCCGCAAAGCCCCGCGCGGGAACAGCAACTGGGGCAGCGCGGCACAAACAAAGAACCCTACTCTAGCAATCGATACTGCGCAGCATAGTTAGAATTAAGTTTAGAACTGATATTTATCATAATTGGTTTGCTTAAGCAGCAACAGTGATAGAATTTGCTGCATCGCGCTGAGACCTGCGAGAAACTGGGTCTCCAAGCGAGAATCCGCCGCGGCGGTGAAGCTGACAAACTCCAGGCACTCATATAAACGAAGTACCTTGAAAGCTGCTGCAAGAAGGCTCCAACGAAAACCATCCAATGCATGGGATCCAGTCCACCGCCGAAGAGGAACGCCTTTAACCACTGGAGGTGTCTAACAGACCAAAGATCTCCAACTTTTCATCTTCGTTCGCGTTGAGCACATAGAACACGGCTCCAGCAGGGATGGTATAATCCTTCTTAACAGTCGACTTCCCACGAATCGATCCAATCAGAGCATCACCTGTTCAGTTGTGACATCACGATCAACGAATCTAAGAGAAAACAATTCTTAAGTACCTTTCTGGAAAGGCTTGCGTCTATGTGGTAGCAGCAGCGCTATGGTGATGAAGCCAAGAGCTACATCACGCTCCTTAAGTGACAGGTTCGTGAGACCCCATCAAAGCTTGGATTTCACCAGCATCAAGTCCTCCTCATACTCAACTTCGCTGGTCGATCCAGATGATCCCGATGACGCGGCTACAAGGGCCGCAAGTGCCACCACTAGCAAGAGCTTAATCATCCTGCAAGAGACGGAAACAAAATCTCGAACGGAAAGCGACTTTCCCGTTCTCCGTGACCATTATAAACAAGGATTTTTGTCAGTTTCGGCATGAGTCTCGGTGGCAGCTTCCCGTTTCCTTGAGGTGCACAAGAGCTTGTTTGCATCTTTCGAGATGGACTGACAGTTTGCTTGCTTAGATCCACTTCGTCGTACTATAGAAGTTAGAAGGTACTTACTTGCTCTAGTACCACGTTTGTTGCTGATTGAACTTGCTTGGAAAATAGCTCCATATCAGAGATTCTGGAGTGGGATGATGGCATTCCAAATACAGGTGTTGGTTCCATTCGGCCCAAATTTCATGAATACGATTAAACTTTGCTCTGAGTTTTTTCTTATAGCAAAACAGGTGTCACGCATGCAAGACTCGTTCCGCCACCATTCGTCCAGCCAGCACCGCGAGCATGCAGATCGTGACCGTGATGATCAGAAGGTACACTGCCATTTTTTGCCCGAGGCCTCCGGAGGCTCGGGAGTAGAAGCTGCTTCGGACGTGCGGTGCCGGTGCTACTGCCGGGAGCTCGCTTCGTGTCTGTGTCTTTCTTTGCTGTCGACTTGGAGCCGGGGGTTTCGCATCAGAGACGATGTCAACCTTCGGCATTCTCACCTCGTGGTTGAGTCCGATAAGTGCTGTCGGTGCGCAAGAGAGGCTGACGAAGTATATGAGCGGTTACCATTGGGTGAAAACCGCCATCCCCACAACAGCCATCACCCGGTCGCGACTGCAGAGATATGGTCACGTTCCTTACTCCGGCATCAAGTTCCCTTCTTGCTCATCGTGTCCTCGTGTTTCTCACTAACAATTTTCTCGAGTTGACGCCTGCGTGAGGAACATTGATGTAGTACTTCTCAGCGTTATACGGCAAATAGCTGACAAACCTGAAAGCAGCAAGGCGAGGCTCCGGTAGCCTGCATGAGAGCCACAAGTTGGCGAACAAAGTCCCCAGCGCCTGGTTCCAGACCTCGCTTGACGCGGTTCCAGCACAGGAGATTCCCACGCGCCATAACGAACGTGAGCGTTGTATGACTCCGACAAAAGGGAAACGATTTTTGGAGTCTAAAAGAAAAAGTTAGACAACATCGTATGCTAGAGAAAGGATGAATCTTACCTGAGCAGGATCAATGCTCTTCGGACATCGTCACTCGCGTCCGAAACGGCAAAATGCAGCAGACGGCGGATAGCACTGTTGTTAGACGTGCCTCTATACTCCAGAGCCAAGGCGTACATGCCACCATAACGAAGAATAGGATCCCGATCCCTTGTCATCTGCTGGATCAAAGTATCTGCTTCTTCTTAACGACAACCAGCGCTATTCCAAGAGCCAACTCCCTTATAATCTTTTCGTGTTGTGTATCGTGAGCATTTCTCCAGCTTTATCGCTGGCGCTTCCAACCATCCATGAGCAGACCCATAGCAATCCCTGCGGCCTCGCCAGCGACGGCATATGTTTTATGTCTTCGTAGATTTCAGCGTCGGCAGTGCCCAGTGCGGCTAGTCCTAGTCCAAGGCAAGATCATCTGAATCACAAGCACCAAGACATTCACATACGTCTTCCTAAGAATGAAGCTTACCTCATTGTTTGTCTTTCTCAAGTTTTCTAGTAAGAACGACTTGATTCCTTCACCGTGGTTAGCATGTATTAGCCCTAAGGCCACCTTCCGAGTATGGACTTCCCCACCAGTCCCACCATCTTGAGGAAGATATGGAGCAATTAAAGAGCGGCCCTGCTGTAAATGACTCTGCGAACAACACCAGTTCAGTTGGTGGCCTGACTTGGCCAATCCTAGCAATGTGCTCCTTCAATCAGCCGCAGCATTAACAACAAAAATAAACGCTCACCCCCATGCACCAAAGCTATAGTAGAGCTGTGACAAACACTGTTTCTCGTTTCAACTGATTGCTTGATAGTCTTCAGAATAAGGAGGTTGGACCTGAAAAATCAGCAGGCATAAGAATCGAGAACACTGACAATGGTTCTTACTTGTCACGGCTGTATAAAAACTGGAAAGTGAGATGAATAAGCGTTTCTCCAGAAAGAATGCCCTTCAATTTCCCCGCTTCATATCATTCTATCTCACAGTCTGTGTCTCTCAATGATCCTCAGACTGTCGCTAATATCCCTTGACAAGCTAGGGAAACAAGGTAATAATGCTTTCGTTAACTTTGATTCTGAAGTTCTTACTCGATCGAAGCACTTTTGGCTTACCAGATCGCCTTCGATTTGTTTGAAAACAAGAGCCAGCTCTTCCTACTGAATGTGAGGGACCGTCGCCAGAGGCTCGGGCTGGAAATAGTTCAGGCGGCGGCAACAATACGAAAGCTACAGAACAAATCGGAATGATGGACGTTTTAACAAGTGCAAACTCCGTAGAAGGAGACAACGTTGAGGACTCCCAGGATATCATTTATGTCGGCAGGATTAAACGGATAACCTAGTCAAAAGAAAAGAACAGAAAATAATAAGAATTATAGAAGCTAAGCACTACGCAAGCATTCCCAGCACATTCTCACTCTTCTGGGAGTTTGGCAAGCCTTTGCGATTCTAATGCCATGCCGATTGCCTGCCCATACTTTCTCTTCTGCATGCACCTAAGACGACACAAGGTAAAAGAATTGACCAAAATTGCAGCAATGTGAGCTCATCCTTTCCACGATTGGGTCAATGTCCCCATCTGGTGTTTTCCGATGAGCGATAAGCACAAAAGAGTCAAACACCATCCCTGGAAGAACGAAAAATAGAAATGCCATACCCACGAGAGTTCTGACAGAGTGCGAATCTTCCAGAACAGAGAGTTCGAATGAGCTCGAGATAGGAAATAAAAATCAAGATACAAATAGAAAACAGCACATTCCTGTGTTAGAAAATTTTCGAAGCTAGTAGAAAAATTCGCTCACCTCAAGAGCAGCGAGCTCTCTCCGCTCGAAATACTCGTAGGAGCTCTCGCTGCGGGCAAAGGATTTGTGAGAGATCTAAACGATAGTGGAAATGCAAATAAAGGAGTTAGTGTAGCTGCCGCGACCGTAAGAGGAGCAAGAACGATATGCCCGCGAGCCCGTGCGCTGTCCGGCCACGACTCGATGCCTTGCAAGGTCGATATGGACGGCTTCTTTTTTTTATTGCGCAGGCAGTAGCGGCAGAAGGAGCAAAAGAAGAAGCGAGTAGCGAGAGCTCGGATGATAACGACGATGGCGCGACCGAGAGCCGATGAGGTTTCTCTCACAATTTTTTTTTCTTTCTTCGGCTTCTCCAAAGTGGGGAGAGCAAGTGTTTGGAGCTCAGGTAATCTTAGAAGTTTTCTATTTCTTCTTTTTTCTCTCCTTCTCGTGCTAACTTCGTGAGTCTATCAAATGGCTATCAGGCCTCCAGAACGTCGCTTACTAGCGAGGATGACGGTACATCTTTTCCAAGTGTAAGCTAGTCAGTCTCTCTATGTTCTTGCGTCCAGGGGAAGAGTTTCTGGATGCTGCCGCTGTTTCTCCACGGAAAATCGAGCCCAGGTCTTCAAAAGTAAGCTTTTGTTTGGCGAGTTTCTCACTGACTCCTTGAACAGTGGCTTAGTCTTCGAATAAGCGCCCCCAGCGAGTAGCCTGCTCACTGCTTTGCGAAATCTTGTTCTCTCTTTGAAGCTGTGCTCTATTTCTTCCAGGGTGGCGGACTAGATCCGGTTTATCGTTGTTATGGATAGACGTTACTCCTCAGGCTTCAGGTCTGATTCTACTTCTCGGTTAAAGAAAAACTATTGAGAGCAATTGGACCACCCACATAGAGTGTTTCTCTCAATCAAGGTGAAAATCTTTTCCCCTTGATCCAGCCCGACGCGTTGCTTGCAGAAGTCGGGGCCTGAGGATTATATTTTCATCTTGGCACGGTGTTTACTGGATAGGAAGCTCCCTCCTTTTCTCTCTTCAATCTAAGACTGCATCGCGCTTCTTGCCAACTCTTTAACCGTGCCGAGGATCGCACACTCGCTTGCAAGGTCTCCAAAACTGGTTTCAACACTTGCGAGTTTGCATGATCCAGAGTTAGCAAAGAGCTCGTGAACGGTGCCCGCCACCAAAGGATACAGCTGCTCCAGAGGGAAATAGCCTTTGAGCTCTTGTCAATGACGAACAATGAGGTATTGCTGCAAATTTAAAAAGGGAAAAACGAAAGAACTGGCCACAGAATTTTTCGCGTTCTTCCAGCTTGATCTTCGCATTGGAAGTTACGATCTAAGAGAAAATGTGGATATTGTCCAGCTCTATTACCATATGGAGCTGGTCTGAGATATGTTTAGGATGGCTTTTCCGTGTGGATATTCTGTGAACTTTCGCCAGGTTTTGGGCGTCTTTCATTCTTCTCTTAGGTTTTGAAGAGAAACCGCAAGGAGAAAAGTTTGTCAGGAAGAAAAGTATATATATATTGTGTGTGTGTGTGTGTATGTACGCAATTAAATAAACTTTTGACATAAAGCTTATACATGGTCAGAAAGAAGAATTAAATTTGTTTTGGTAATAATTAGGATGGCAATTAATTTAGAAGCATATTTGAAGAGAAAGAATTTGGGAAATTTATTTATGTAAAGAATAAATTATTTTATCTATTTTCATAGTTAAGCTTCTTTATTTAAGAGAGCTAGTTTTTCTAGATTCTTTATGTATTACAAGAACGAGAATAATGGTTTTTTTTGCTTGCCAATTAGGCAAATTAGGAGTTTAAGAATATTCTTTGAATATTCTCTTCCTATCTAGATTAAATCTTATAACAGATTGTTTTGTAATGTAGTCAAATTCCAATAATCAAATGTGAATTTCTAATAGCAAGCTCAACAAACCATCTCGCAATAAGTATTTTATAAATTGTGAATGTTTTTTCCCTTTTAGTTTTTCCACTTTATTCAGGTGATTGTACTCTTTGGAAGAAGATTAATGGATGAGAACCACTACTACCAGTAATAACAACAAAATGTGAGGAAGAAAGGGCAAAGAGTAGTACGTCTTGAATGGTTTTATGCTTCTCATCCTACCATACCTAATTAGAGTCTATGTCCATTAGAACTTGGGCATGCAATGCAATATTTGCCATCAGAAAAGGTCTGGGACATTCAGACAGGTATGCACCTAATGCTTCCCTTGTTGTGAAGTTCTTGAGGGTGGTTTGGGTGGTTGACGAGAGTATGCCCTTCTGACACTCTAATGCTGGGCAACATTATGTCATGTCTACCTGGATGCATATCATGATGTTTAAAAAAGGATATCATAGTTAACTACTTTAGGGAGCAATTGAAAGAAGGTTAAAGTATTTACAATTGTCTGTGTGCATGTTGTGCATACTTGATAGAAGTAATCAAGTTGTGTTTCACACTTGAACGTAAAAAGGTTTCAGCATATAAGTTGCCCAATTTGAAACTTACTTGTGGCCTGATGTGGTTGCACCGCGAACATTTATTATAGCTTCAAGGCTCACAATGCATAGGTTCCAAACTCTGCAAATTCTATGGCTTGCCCTCATGCCTCTGGGATTGTTTCATTGCTGAAAGCATATCATCTCAAGTGGAGTCTTGCCGCTATCAATCTACCTTGGTTACAACTGGTAAGAATGACTTGCACTCTTGGATCTAATAGTTTAGAATTCTAGAGCCTTTGTTGGTGGTGGGCTTAATAAGAACAACTGATTATGGAGATGGACATGTTAGTCCCAATGCTGCAGCTCATCCAGACATGTCAAACTATATTGGACTTTTGTGTGGGCTATGGCCAGAAAGTTGCACCCAAAGAATTGTATTGTTCAACCAAGCCATCTCAATTGGTCTTGTTAATTTCACTGGATTAATGATGAATGTTGGGCACAGTAAGTTGTGTACTGTGAATGTTGAAGCGCCACATAGAATCAACGTGGCGGTCAAGCCGAGAGAATTGAGGTTTGACTTGGTCAAGTAAAGACCTATCTGAAACGGGTCACTGACTTGGAAGGACACCTATTGCAATCTTGTTTTCAAATAAGTAACGCTCTTGCACCAACAGAGAAAGATAGTCATCTTTTTCTCACGAGGGTCAATATGTTCCTTTCTCTTGTGATCTTCCTTTCAACTTCTCCATTCTGTGCTTGATAGCGGCGCTCTCCTCCCGCTCACCGGCCTCAACCAGGATGTTTGCGAGCATCACATACGTCGACCAATTCCGAGGCTCCAGCGCAAATGCCCGCTCTGCAACTCGCCTCGCGCGCCTAACGTCCTTGTGAGTGGAGCACGCTGCTAGCAGCGCGATCCACAGCACTGCCACTCTCACCGGCAACTCCTCCACAAACTTCTCCACGTCGTCAAGCTTCCCGCACCGTCCCAGAGCGTCCACAACGCAGCCGTAGTGCTCCGGACGGGGAAGAATCTCGTAGTGCACCGCAAGATCATTGGGAAGCTCTCGAGCAGTCCTCCGTGACTGCACGAAGACAAGACGCTCACAAAAGCGATGCTGTCTGGAGCGACGCCTTCCAGCTGCATTATCGCGAAGAGTGACAGGGTCATCTCCAGATCCCCGGCTTGGGCGTGAGCCGAGACGATGTACGTCCAGGAAATCACGTTCTTGCTCGCCATCTTTTCGAAGATTTCCCGAACGCTCTCTACTCTCCCAAGCTTGGAGTACATGGTCATGAGCGAGTGGCACAGGGCTTCGTTGGAAGCAAACTCGCTCGCTTCAATCAGTCTGTAAGTGGCGATTCCTTGGGCAAGATCTTTCTCGCCAGAGCAAGCAAGAACGACGCAGAGGAGAGTTACGTGGTCCGGCTCTACGTCAATCCTTTTGAAGAGCTCCATCGCCTCGTGTAAGTGGCCCCCTTGGACGTAAACCGTGAGCATGCAGTTCCAGGAGTTGCGATTCTTGTGTTGGATCGTGTCAAACACTGCTCTTGATTCTTCCAGAGCCCCGCCTTTTCCATACATGAGCATTTGCTACGACTGTGTTACTCTCGAATCCCCTCGAGACGACGATCCTGTGAACTTTTCTGCCTTGCTCCAGCGATGCCATGCTCGAGCAAGCGTCGAGAGCGCTCACGCAAGCAACCGCATCGGGTTCGAGGCCTCCATGAGCGAGCAACCTCTCGAAAATCTCCATCGCTTCTCTGCCATGGCCATGGGCATAGCTCGATATCAGCGTCGTCCAGGTGACGAGGTTCTTTTGCGGCATTCTCTCGAAGACTAGCCTGGAATCTCTCAAGCTCCCACACTTCTCATACATTGTGATCACCTCTGTGCCAACTATAACGTTTGATTCCAGGCCCAGAGCTGTGATCCTTGCGTGGAACTTTCTAGCTTGCGGGAGAAGCCTTCGAACCGTGAAGGAAGCAAGAACAGTGACGCAAGTCACCGGCGATGGCTTCACACCATCGAGCTCCATTCGTCTAAACAGCAACAACGCCTCGGCAAAATGCCCATTCTATGGAAACGCTGCGATCATGATATTCCACGAGAAAAGATCTCTGTTCCAGATGCCAGCAAACACCTTATATGCTAGACCAAGCTCGCCAAGCTTCCGATATGCCTGTAGTATCATGTCTCCCACGAACTGGTCTTCCGCGCAGCCGGGATGCCTCGCGGAAACAAAGCCGTGCACGCGACGAACTTGTGCTAGATTATTCTCTTGTACGCACCACTTGAGAAGGGACACAAAGCCTCTCGACACTGCCGTGTTAATGCTGATCTCCCCTGCTTGCTCGATCACGGCACCACGGCTCGCGGGAGATCTCCATACTTTCCCTTCCACCCATCCACATCGGTCTCCAAGAACTTGGCATTGTCACCAATCACCGATGCCGCTGCCGTGTGGAGCCACTCGCGGAGCACTCGAATTCGCCGCAAGCTCATCTAGCAGGATCGATCTATCCCATGACCACGGAGCCAGCTCTAAACCAAGAACTTCCCAGGAACAATCCGTGGCAAACGAGATCCTCCCCAATCACGCAAGAGAGATCACCAGCGCCCAGGACGAAGATCTCATCCCGGAGCCCAAATGCCCGCTGTGAGTGGACATTGAAAGCCGGAGACGAGGAAGACGAAGATGGCTTGCGCTGGATGCTCCCGGCAAGAACCCATTCCCCATCCACGAACTTGTAGAGGCAATCCGAGGCTGTCAAGCTGTAAATCCCGCTGGAAGTAGCGACGAGTTCTCCATGATCCATGGCGCTCATCCCAGAAGAATCGCGGTGCCAGGAATCGCTACCAGGATCATAGACCAGCACCTCGCAACGCGTGGAAGAGAACACCCGGACGTAAAGCTTACCCTGGAACACCACCTCGCAGTCAACCCGGTCGAGGTGGTTGTACGGCATGGTTGACCGCTGCGTCCACGTGTCGGTCGCAACGTCATAGGACTCGGTCGCGGGGACAAAGTCACCGTCGTGGTCGCAGCCCCCCGCGACGTAGACCGTACCATTCACTGTCGCCATGGCGAACTGCGACCGCGCGACAGTTGGCGGCGATCCCGCCCGCCACTTGTTCTTGGTGGAATCGAAGATCCGGGTGTGGTTCTCCACGCTCGATCGGCGAGAGCTCGTCCTGGATTCCAGCGCGACGAGGAGAGCGCCCACCGCCGCGGTCTTGAATGTGGCGAATCCTCCTCCGCCCACATCGCCGATTTCTAGCCCCGTGGGCAGTGGAGGATCTGGAAGAGGCGCTTTGAGCAACAAGGATTTGGAGGCGAGATTGTAAATGCAGTAGGAGTTGTGGCCATTTTCCATGAGGATCACGACGAGCCAGGCATCGGCGATGCCAGATTTCCTTCTTACCGCGAAGAAATCCTCACTCTCGAGCGTCTTCCTCCAAGTTCTTGACACCGATCGCATGCTGCGGTGGTAGATCCTGGGGACCTTGGCGAGGCAGTGGCGCGCGACATCGTTTGGAAGCCCCGAAATGAGAGATCTCTTGAGTTCTAAGCCTAGGTACCTCTTGTTTCCCATTGATCTTCCAAGGAATCATGGGCGATCGCTTAAGAACACCGTGAAGAACTTTCGGTGGGAAATACCAATTAAACATGGGACACGTTGCTGGAGATATTTTATCCCTCGTTTCAAAACTGGACACGTATGGTCTCTTTTCGCGGATTTTCAGCATTGTGACACGTGTATTAGGGCTGTTTTAGGTATGGTTGCTTTATCCTTTCTTCCCTCTGGCGCCACTATCCTCCCTCCATCGCCACTCCCGCGCAGGAATTTCCTCGCCCTAGGGTGCCCGCTGCTGGTAGCGATCGGCAGCGCTGGCAATGCCGCCCAAGCGGTGATCAAATCCAAGGCCGCGGCCCAGGAAGAGAAGCTGCTGGAATCAAACCAGCGGATCCAGCAGATGAATGGCGTGCCTCCGGATTTCCCGAGCTTCGTCCGTCAGGGATTCAAGGTCAAGGTTGTGGCGAGCCCCAAGTATGTGACCACGAGTACCGGATTGATCTACCTCGATCTGGAGCAGGGGAGCGGCGATTGCCCCAGCGATGGCCAGCAAGTGATCTTCAACTACATTGGCTACAACGAGGCCGGGAGGAGGATCGACAGTAGCTACCAGAAGGGGCAGCCATCCAAGACGCGATTGGGCGATGGTGGATTGGTTCCTGGGTTTGAGGAAGGGATCAAGAGCATGAGGCCTGGCGGGAAGCGAAGAATTGTCGTCCCTCCCGAGCTGGGTCCTCCAGTCGGCCCCTCGACGTTCTTTAGCTCCAAGCAGTTCGAGATCTTCGACGTGGAGCTCGTCCAGGTGAAGGATTGCGTGAGAAAGACAGTGGGATTCTTCTCGGCTCTTAGCTGTGACTGAAAACAAACGAATTTTTTGTTCATGGATCGATCTCACTCGTCTCATGTGTGATGTTCCTGGCCTCGTGAGGCTACTGAAATCTTGCTGCGGTGATTTCGCCAGGGCGCGCGAGCTCCATTTGCGTGTCTTGGGCGATGAGCGCTTGCGATCCAACGTAAGAATCAGGAATGTTTTAATCGATGTGTATGGGAAATGCGGGAGAATCGACGAGGCTAGAGAGGTTTTCGATGGATTGGAAGAACGAGATGTTTGCTCGTGGAACTCGATTGTCACAGCATATGCCACAAATGGGCATCTTGACATGGCAAGAGATTTCTTTGAGAGAACACCAGGCCGAGACGTGGTATCTTGGAATGGTATCACAAAAGCGTGCAGCCACCATGGCCTGGTCGATCAAGCGCGAATTTGGTACGACAGGACACCCTGGCAAAATGTGGTGTCGTGGACAGCCATGCTGGCAGCATATACCGCGTCAGGGCATCTGGACGAGGCAAGAAGTATATTTGACAACATGCGTCAGCACGACCTGGTGTCGTGGACTGCCATGCTGGCAGCCTACGCTGGCAATGGTCGCGTTCGTGATGCGTGGAACTTTTTTATCAGGATGCCTGAAAGAAATCTGGTCGCGTGGAACGCTATTGTGCAAACATTTGCCCAAAATGGGCATTTTTCTAAGGCGGTGGAGACGTGGGAGTCCATGCCTGACTTGAGCGCTCTTTCATGGACAATTATGATATCCGCGTATGGGAATCAAGGCTTGGTGGACTTAGCTAAGCGTGTTTTTGACAAAATGCCGTGCAAGGACATTGTGGCCTTGACGTCCGTAATCACGGTTTACGCCCAGAACTGGGATCTGGAGCACACGGAATATGTTTTTGCAAAGATGCCCTGTTGGGATTCAGTTGCGTGGACGGCCATGATTCAGGCATACTCTCAGAATGGAAAGCCTGAGATGGCAAAGGCTACGTTTGACACTATGCCCAAACGAACTGCTTTTTCATGGAATTGCCTCATTTCTGCGAGTGCCATGTACGGGCATTTGCGTCATGCTTGTGTAACTTTTGATAAAATGCCTGTTCACGACAAAGTTTCATGGACGACTATGGTTTCTGGATTTACGCAAAATGGCCAGCTTGAGGAGGCTCTGGAGGGTTTTAATCGAATGCCCAAGCGGGATCTATACACTTGGAATTCGATCATCCAGGCACTCGCCCAGAATGGCGACTTGAAAACCACACTGGAGCTCGTTGGGTCAATGCTCCTTGAAGGAGTGAAGCCGAGCTACATCACCTACGTGAGCGTGCTCACGGCTTGCAATCACGAAGGCGTGGTTAACTCGGCAAGGGAGCACTTTGGAATCATGCTTGAAGCTCATGGCATTTTGCCGGTGATCAAGCACTTCCACTGTTTGATAGATGTGCTGGGACGAGCAAGACGGCTACAACAAGCCGAGGAGCTGCTCTACAGCATGCCCTTTGCAGCCGATGAGGTTGCCTGGACTACTTTGCTGGGGGCTTGTGCCGTCCATGGTGAAATTGAGCAAGGGGAACGAGCAGCGAGGAATGCTCTTAGGCTAAATCCTTGCAGCGATGTTGCCTTCACGTTGCTATCGAATGTGCATGTCATTGCACACAGCCTGGTATAGTTCTACATTTTACAGAGGATACCATCTATCGCACGCGTGCCAGGCCGAGAGGCTGTGGAACGAACTTCTTCTGCTCACGATCAAAGAAGGCAGGAAATTCATGGTTGGAAAGCTTGCATTCTAACTAAGCATATCCTGAGTTTAACCTGTGGATTTGCTGAACGAGACAAGATATACATCATAACTAAGCAAAGGTTCTCATCTTTCATTTGCTCAAAGTAGAACCCCAAAAATTAGAAGCTATCTCTATGCAAATTGAGAAAACATCCGTGGGTGGTAAAAATGCCATAGTAGAAAAAGAAGGTGAGTGCAAAACTAGCTAGGGCCCTGAAAATAAAGGAAGCAAGGCAAGGACAAATGAGAAGCTGCTGTGATCAAAGGTTTGGCTGCGAGAAGATGTCTTGCCAGAACTGTCCTCCGAGTTTTCTTTAGAATACATCATGTCTGACAAAACTGTTTTCATTGTTGTTTTCATTTACACTGATTCAGAGTGTTTGCAGATCAAATTGTTATAGAAGATACACATAATATTGAGTGAATGGCTTGCTATGCTCTTATCGTCCGTGCAAGCACATCATGAATCACTCAATACTGATATTATTATCCCCATCATCCAACCACAAGCAAACTAGTCGGCTTCAAAACAGCTCTAAATATCTAAAGCTCAGTTTCAGCTGTAAAAATCTTCGCATGAGAATGGAAGCTCTTGTAGCTCACAATTATTCTAGTCATCTCAAGCCTTAAAATGTTGTGGCCACTCTCAGCAGTAGAGCCAGCATCCGTTCTCTAACAAAGACGATCATGGTCAAGATAGGAAGAATGATCAACCATCGATATCGGTTGATCACAAGGAGAAATAAGACAAGAAAGAAAAGTTCCAGATGTTGGTTATAATGGATATTAGACAGCCTGCTTCAAGTAAAGCAATGAAAACATGAGATCGTAGTTGTCATAGCTAGTGGCCACCTTCATGATGAGGCGTTTTGGCTTAGATCTCGTAAAAAGAACTATCTCGGCACTCCAGAACTCTCCCCGGTGTGCCTTCTCATTGTCGCAAGAATTCTTTTGCCAAGGCCTCTGGCGGGATAGCCTGAAGTGTCCCAAGCCTCACACGCTCACATTCTCCGGATCAAATTTCTGCTATGATTGAGTCCCTTTGAACGACTTACATTTCGTCCAATCTTGAGACTTAAGTATGACAGCTAATGGATGCCAGGAAACTCGTCAGCACCAAGAGTGTCCTCTTTCTTGAGCTGAGCACAATTACCAAATACTTTGCGAAATTCTGCCCATAGCTATAGGTTGTGATCCCAACACACAAATGTGGAGTGCAGGATGACAAATGTCATCATCTTTCATAGCTCTCCTTTAAAACTCATGGCGCGAGAGAACTCCAAGATTGATCCCGAGCTGCCGCCAACTACTCAGAATTCTTTGCTGCTATGTGGAATCCATATTGTGCTGGTTTAAAACCACACCACCTTTGCTAGACAATCGTCTTGTGTTGCCCAGCCAAGAAGTAGTGGCTAATTCCATTTGCTAAATGTCAATTTGGCGCTAAAAGATTGCAATGATCTTACTAATGCAGGTTCCCAATGAGGAAGTCTAGATGATCACTGTTGTGATTTTGGGTTTAATTTGCAGAAACCAATTACTTAGATTTAGCAAATTATGATTTCTGTTAGAAAAAACAGATTTACAACACAACTTGGATTAAAAGAGACGAGTTACCACCCGAATATAATAATAGCCTTCTCAAGGTAACCGTGTTTGCTTCTATCAGGGACGACATTTAAACTTCCAATGAAACATTGTGTATGCTGAATCCAGCTTTCATTGATCACGATGGAAGAGGCCAAGACTGTTTTCTCGGCCATGGCGCAACGCTGGGAGCCATAATCGCGGTGCCACACTGGACAAGTTCCGCACATGGATAAAATCACATTCATCACTACTCTGGAGGCGAGTTAGACAGGCTGATACAAAGATTGGGATCTGCAACACGAATAGTGAGTTTACTTTGAACACAATGAATATGTGTAGTTTATTGTAGAGTGTTTTGTCTTTTCTTCCGTAGAATCTGAGCTGTGCAGCTTGTTAAAGAGAGTCTTGAATATAATTTAACATGGTATCAAGAGGCATATGTGTCCCTTCTTGTCTTTTTATTTATTCGAGATGTTTTTGATGAATTATAGTGTTCTCATATCCTTCTAGATATGGATTACTTATAATTGGAATTGTCATGTTTGGTTTCAAACCTTTCAAATATCGCAAGGAAGGAAGTCGCAAATATCTTCTTCCATTCTTACCGCATTCTTGTATCCGTGCTCCTTGTTGGATTTGTCAAGCTTTTCGAATTAGAATTGTCAAGCTTTGTTGAGCTCTTTCACTTGGAACTGTCTAGCTTTGTCGAATTACTTTTTGAGCTTTTCGAATTGGAATTGTCAAACTTTGACAGAATTATTTTCGAGCATTATCGGATAATTTTATTGAGCTTTTCAAATTGGAATTGTTGAGCTTCGTCTGACTAGATGTCAAACATTTTTCAAATTAAGTTTGTCAGAAGATCTCTTATCAGTAGCAATGGAGTTGTAATTTGGTATTTTCACTATGGGAAACATTTTAGATTCAAGCTTTATTGTTAAATTACTTTTGTCATATATTTTTACTTAATTTTTTTCTTGGTAAAACTTTGAACTTGCCAAACTTTGAACAATTTAACTAGAATATCTAAATATATTTTAGGATATTTTTCAATCTAACAGCTTTTTCTAATTTATTTATAATCGGTATTTAATAATAATTTTCTTAGTTAAACTAATACAAATTAACTTTAAAGTCTGTGTTTATGTTTTAACTATTACTTCCTAATTAGATTTTTATGAATCATCCTTAGAACATAAGAAATAGTACCCTACAAAGATTCAATTACCACTATTTGGCACCCAAAATCTTTTAAATACTGTAATGTATAAATCAATCAGGAGCTTATATCGTGAGCCCTATATATTTCTATTTTTAATTATATGAAAATTACTCAAAAAATTTACATTTGTAAGAGATTGGGTAATAAGTGTTTTCCTTACCCAAGTCAAAAATATTTATTAATTATTGTGGTGAGTATGTCATCTTTTGACTGCTTTCTATATCTGTAAAAAGATAATTCAAGCAGATAAGAACGTAAGACACCACCATAATGCCAAGGAAATGTAAAAACTAACAATATTTGAGATCACCATTTTTACAAGTAAATAAAAAAGTGACAACATTTGGGTTGTTTTTTACTTTTATGCCCTAGAATTAAACTATGCAAAACATAAATGCCAAATTAAATTATTTTTGGTTTGCTTAAACAAACCTGTAGGAATATACCTAGAATATCCTTGGATATTCTAGGATATTCTACCATCTAAAGGTTTTAGATTAATCATTATTAAACAAACCAAGTGTTGTTACATGCAATGCATAGAAAATTATTAATATTGCATGCTAAAGCCCTCAAACCATTATGATCAAACTTATAGTTCCATTTATCGTGGCTCCTACCCCAAGGATAGGGGTTCTTGCACAAAAATGTTATTTTTACTAGAAAAGAAACACAACTTGTGTTTAAAAGCCTAAATTGGGAGCCACATAAGGTGGAGGGTGTACTTATAATTTGATATTCTTACACTAAACTTTTAGTTTCAAACTAATAATGTAAAAGTATTAGGAATATATAATAAGTTTACTATTTTATAAAATCCAAAATAAGGAACCTATTTTGGAAAGATCAACTCAGAACGATCTCATCTAGATCTCAAGGATCCATAAAAAATAAGTGCCTTTATGATCTATTGGATTTGTCACGAAAATTCTGCTTGCTAAGGAGTTTGTTCCAATTAGAAGCTAAGCGCTCATGGACAGCTGGCCAGATCAGTGTGAGACACAGAAAGGGTGCCACATGGTAATGGTTTTGCTAATTGGATGTCACAACAAGGGATGTCCATCTAGTGAGGAATTTAATACAATGTGATCAAAATCAATGACAGTCAACATAATTTTTATATTGACTCTTAACATCATGGTTTTGGAACAGGGGTTAGTTAATTATTGCTGTAATTCTATAGAAAAATAATAATGTTCATGAAATTTATAAAGTTATAGATTAACATTAAAGCTTAAAGTGCCCCAAAGGACCATCTTGCAAGAAACCACAGCAGTGCTGCAATATCACCTTTAGAATCTTCAACATAATCAATCGATTACTGGTTGGAAGTTAATTAAGATGATTTATACTGCTATTAAGGCATGTAATCTAGCATCTTCATGGTTTCGCCAGCGTTAATCAAAGGGATTGATTTAAAGTATCTAAAAACTACCAAAATTTTGTGGAAGAACTCAAAATGCTAATTTTAATACAACAGCGTTCTCTTTGAGGAACGCAATCAAAATCGCCACTGTTAATCTAGAGAAAGAAATTTGCTCTTGAAAGTTTTCTTTGGACTAAGCTGGATTTGCTAGCTTACAAACAGATCAGTACGAACACAGGAAATCACTCTAGAGAAAAAATCCATTTGCTTGAGAAATGTCGTGTGTATAGTTTTTGTTTGCCTCGCAGGTCGGAAACACGATCGTTTACTCAAAGTACGCCGGCACTGAGATCCAGTTCAATGGTGCTGACCACATCCTCCTCAAGGAGGACGACGTGATTGGGCTGCTATCCACCGAGGACATCAAAGATCTCAAGCCTGTGAATGAACCCAATCTTATTTGTCCTAGTAGATATTAGGTTAATATATGATGTCCATACTAGTAGACTAGAGCCAATTCCCTGCAATGTGGAATCACCTTTAGTGCATATTGCCCAGCAAATGCTAGTACAAAAATCAATAATTTTATACAATTTTTTTCTTTTGATATTTTTATATGTATATATATATACACACAATAGGCAGGGATTTTGAAGCTTTTCCCTTTTCCCAAGTTTGAGACAAGAGTTTTTAGCGGCTCTGGAGCGAAATGCTGAGTGCTAGCTGGCGGAGCCTTGGAAGAATGTCACCCATTTTCAGTGCTTCTGTGATGGCCTCAAGTAGAAAGAGTGGAACTACGGACATATATATGTATATAAAGTGGATCAACCGGTGGAAAGACTGAACCGGCCATGAAAAAACAAAAACAGAGCTAGGAAATATCAAACTAGCTCCCAGCGAGGTTCGAACTCGCGACCTTTCGCTTACGAAGCGAACGCACTACCACTATGCTATGGAAGCCAAGTCGGTGACAAACGTCAGAGTAAAACCCATATATCCGCTCACGTGTCAATCCTAGCCACGTCATCACACCTCTCCGCCAATGGTCGTGCTGCATCCCCGCCCAGGGCTGATTCACCCCCCATTCGGGGGACGGCAGACGATGGACTGTTGCGACAGCGACGATGACTGCTGCGACATAGTGCCACACCACCACGGGCACCACGGGCACCACCACGGGCACCACCACCACCACCACAGCCACAGCCCCCGCGTCCACATCTCCTCGGCCCACTGCTCACCGCGCTCCTGCTCCCCGGTGCGCGTCCGCGTGGGCGACGATACCACGGTGCTCTACTCGGGTGGCAGCCACTGCCACCGCCCCTCCTTCTACCACCACCACCACCACGACTCCCTCACGCTCCACATCGACGATTCGCCGCCGTGCACGCCCCGGATCTCCGTGCGCGCCCGGAGCTGCTCGCCCGAGAGGGTGACGCTGAGCATCACGCCGCGATCTTGCCCCTTTTGCCCCTCGTGGCAGCGCTACTGCCGCTGGTGCCCGATCTGCCGCTGGTGCCCGTACTGCCACCACGGCTGCCCTCGCTATTGCGGCTATTGCCGCCTGTGGTGAAGCAAAGCAATGCCGCCACCCCGCTCTCCCATGCCTGACACTTCGATGCTGCGATTGAGGAGCCACTGAAGCTAACCAACGCCATAGCCTCAGCAAGAAACTCGCGCTTACAATGTTCTTCTAAAGACTCTTATAAAAGACCTCTTCATTTCAAATTTTTAGGGTTCTTGGGTAGGGCTCTCTCTCTCTCTCTCTCTCTCTCTTCTTGCAGGAATGGGGACGAGCGTCCAGCTGACCCCGCTCGCCGGCGCTCACTCCGAGGGGCCGCTCTGCTACCTCCTCCAGGTCGACGATTTCAGATTCTTGCTGGATTGCGGCTGGAACGATGTCTTCGATGTCTCTCTCCTCCAGCCCCTCGTCAGGTATTGGATTCTCGGCTTTTCTTGATTGACCATTGATATTTCAGTGTCGCTCCCACGATCGATGCTGTTCTTCTCTCCCATTCTGACACGCTGCATCTCGGAGCGCTACCCTACGCGATCGCGAAGCTGGGACTCAATGCGACCGTCTATTGCACGCATCCCATCCGGTCCATGGGCCATATGCAAATGTATGATCATTGCCTCTCGCGAACTGTGAGTTTTGTTCTTTCCGCTCAGCTCGTGGATGGACTGAAATAATGTATGGATTTCTTCTTTTCTTACAGGCTGTGTCGCATTTTGATCTCTTCAGCCTGGATGATGTAGACACTGCCTTCTCGAACACCTGTCCTCTCAAGTACTCTCAACATTTTCCTCTTCAAGGTAATCCCCGAGAAGAAAACTAGAAGAAATTTAAGGTTTTAGTTTTTCTCTAGTGCAGGCAAGGGGCAAGGCATTACCATCACACCGTTTCCAGCAGCCAGACTTTTAGGCGGAACTATCTGGAAAATCACTAAGGACACGGAAGACATCATATATGCTGTCGATTTCAACCATCGCAAAGAAAGGTTTCAGTTTTAGATTTGTTCATTTCCTGAGGCCTAGAATCTGAGGGCATGCTAACGCAGGCATTTAAATGCAACGGTTTTAGAGTCCTTCACTAGGCCTGCAGTGCTTATTACGGATGCTTACAATGCTCTCAATTCTCAGCCTGTGCGCCGGCAACGAGATCAAGAATTTCTGGGTACGTCTTTCTTGGCTTTTTGTGAGCCATAGAGTTCTCTCCTGTTTTGTGATGCAGATATTATCTTGAGGACTCTACGCTCCTCTGGAAATGTTCTTTTGCCTGTCGAACCGTCTGGTCGGGTATTAGAGATTATTTTGTACCTGGACCAGGTATGCTCTCAAAACTAAGTTTACTTTGTAAGCGTCCTTTGCATGCAGCATTGGAGCCAGCACCGAATAAACGTACCCCTCGTTTTTCTTACGTATGTGGTCGGCAGCGTAACTGACTTTGTTAAGAGCTCGCTTGAATGGATGAATGATGCTATAGGAAAAGCATTCGAACAGAATCGTGAGAATCCATTCGCACTAAGGTGAGTGATCCGTTTTAACTGCATATTCTTATTTTTCATATTTACTTTCAGATCCGTGAAATTGTGCACCTCACGAAAACAGCTTGACGAGCTTCCTCCAGGACCCAGGGTAACGTTTTCTCGAAACTAAATCGTGAATACTCAATTATTGGTTCAGGTTGTTCTTGCATCCATGGCGAGCTTGGAAACAGGATTTGCGAAAGAATTGTTTTTGGAGTGGGCTGTAGATCCTAAAAATCTTGTACTTTTTACGGAACGGGCTCAGGTAGTCGTTATTCTCTCCTATTTGCGAAAAGTTCATCGTTAAATTTTGGTAGGTTGGAACACTAGCGCGTCAGCTACAAGTGGAGCCTCCGCCAAAGATTGTGAAAATCACCATCAGCAAGAAAGTCCTTCTTGTCGGTGAGGAGCTGGAGGCTTACGAGCGTGAGCAGTCGCGGCTCAGAGAGGAAGCAAGGAACGCAGCTTCTCAACAGGAACCAGTCCAGCCAGCTTCTTCAAGCGACGACCTGATGCCATCGGCTCCGGACGAGTCAAGTACACCATCAGAAGGTGATGAGTTTGTCAGTTTTCTCTTGGCTTAAGACGATAGTCCTTGTTCATTCCAGGGAAACAGCAAGCGGTCACTGTTCATCATGATATTTTCATAGATGGTTTCACGGTTCCGGCTGACACCGTAGCACCCATGTTCCCGGTTTATGACGATAGCAACGAACGTGACGAGTATGGGGAAATTATTAACCCTGATGACTTTGTGATTAAAGAAGAGTTTATGGACTACTCCCAAACTCAGGCTGTAAGTGATGTTCTTAGTGCATCTAAAACTGGTTTTAACGATTTGTTTTTTTTACAGAATGCAAATAATATAAAGCTAGAGACAGAAGGAGACACCTCTGCAGAAAAGCCGTCGAAAGTCGTCACGACTGATACAGCGGTATTTCTAGTACTCAGAAATTACTGAGTATTTTCTAAAATATCTCTCTTGTGATGTTTAGGTGGTCCCACTGTGTGCGCTGACATTCATGGATTTTGAGGGCCGAGCCGATGGACGATCGATCAAGTCGATATTGGCCCATGTAGCTCCCTTGAAGCTGGCAAGTGTAGCCTTCTCCTTTATCTTCATTTGCTGATTTGGAGGAGATCAGGTTTTGATCCATGGATCCGCGGAATCTACCGAACACTTGAAGCAGCACTGCCTCAAAAATGTCTGTCCGTTCGTCTACACTCCACGGGTTGGTGAAAATATGAACGTCACTTCCGATCTCAATGCGTATAAGGTGCGATGAGAGTTTGAGACCCGTGTGTGAATGACTCCGTCCTTGTTCCTGTTTAGCTGAGGCTGACGGAGCGTATAATGAGCAGCGTCCTCTTCAGAAAGGTAAAACGTGGCATAGATTTGGAGTTTCAGCATTGTGCACGTTTCAGCTTGGAGATTACGAGCTAGCGTGGGTTGATGGAGAAATCGGACAGAATGAGGAGGACTTACTCCCACTTTTGCCTCTGGACGGAACGCCACCTCCACACAAGACCGTCTTTGTTGGGGATTTGCGCCTTGCTGATTTCAAGCAGCTATTAGCCACCAAAGGCATCCAGGTTTGTTCTGCTGCCCTGGTTAGATGTTTGACCTCTGCTTCACATGCGCAGGCAGAATTTGCCGGTGGTGTTCTCCGTTGCGCTGACAACATAGCCGTTCGCAAGGTAGGTAGTTCCGAACTTTGTAAATCCGGAAACTAAGTTGCTCTGCCCAGAGTGGAGGACAGCAACTCGTAATCGAGGGATCTTTGTCTGACGACTACTACAAAGTCCGGGAGCTGCTCTACTCACAATACCACATAGTGTGAATGTAAAGTAAGTACCTTTCGAGACACTGGGGTGATCACATTAGTTTGCTGTGAACAGCTTCTTGGCCAGAGTTTCGTGGAGGGCTTGTCGGGACAAGAGGTTTTCCATCTGCAAACAAGGAACCAATCAGCACAGGAACTTAAGATATCATATCCGGGGGCGTTGACTCACTCACCTTGGTGTTGTGGTGAACGGTCAAGCTGAGGACCGAGCTCACTTCGGGCTTCCAGTCGATGGAATCCAGCTCCAGACCGAGCTCCTGGAGGCAACTCAGCATCCTGACCAGGTCGTGATCCGGTCTCTTGACGTCGAAGCTGAGGTGAATTGCCGATCGCGCGGCGCGGGAGTCGTCATTATTGTCGAGCTCCTCCGTGAGCATGCTGGTGGGATTCGTTGCGGCTGGGGACAAGGACTCCACCTCTTGGTCGCCGGTGCCGCCGTTCAAGTTGGAGGTGAAGCTCGGGCTGCTCTGCTCTTGGAGCTCCGCGATCTGGCACCGGAGTTGCTTGATGTAGTCGATGGTGGCCTGGAGGACCGCGAGCTTGTTGGCCTGTCCAGTGCCACGTTCAGGGAGTGGAAATGAAAGTTGAAGCAAGTTTTCTTGTTTTAAAATGCTCATACCTTCTTCAAGGTCCCTTGTGGGATGAATTTCTTGAGCGTGGCCAGGTGCTCGGATTCCTTGGACCGCCGGGACCGCTCGGCCAGCATGTGGTTGTACGAGGCGGGAGTTTGCGCTGGAGCTCGCGGATTTGATTGGAATTGGATTAGGGGTTGGTGTTGGAGATCTTGAGCTTGAGCTACTTGAGAAGATGGCGCCTGTATTTCTAGTTGCTGCTGTTGGTGCTGCTGCTGGAGAGTTACATCTTCGGGGGCAGCCGAGGAGGAGGAAGCGCGAGATTGGAGCTGCTCCCTTTCGTGAACTTGCCGATAGAGATCCAGAATGGAGCACGCCATCGACTTCTTCCTGCAACCATGGCCATGAGTATGAGCGGTGCTTTCGATCCCAGGACTCCAGTATTGGAAGGCCTTGCCCGGATGGATTTCTACTTGTTCCACCGGTACCGCTTCCTCCTTGACCGCCATCACGGGCAGCGGCTGTTCGAAGTGCTGCTGCTGGAAACCCGCACCACGGCCCGTTTCCAGGGGAAAATCCACACGAGACAGCCCCTGAACCACGATGCTGTCGTGATCAAACAACTGAAACGCCTCGGTCCCGTCGAAGCTCCGGCTAAGTTGCTGAATGTGGGCTTGGAGCTCGTGATCGTCGTTGGGCTCCAGGAAGCCGCCGCCGCTGCTGGCCCCCGCGGAGCTCAGGCTGAAAGCAGACTCATGGCCCGTCGCTGCCCCTGGAAAGCTCCACGCCTCGGGATCGTACAAGGCCTGGGATGGGAAGCACAGATTTGTGAGGAAGCAAAGGAGAACAAACTCTTGCTCCAAGGAGAGAACATACCTCCATCTCCATGGCCTTTGCCGCTCCCTCGCTGCTGGTTACTTGTTCCAGGTCGGTCTCATCAGAGTTCTTAAGGGAAGAGATGGCAGAAAATCTGCGAACTAAGGCGAGATACTCTTGCTCCTCCACTTTGTTCGGCTGTTGCAGAGGATATCAATCTTTGGCCCCGATTTATTCAGCGGCTCCCCCGCATATTCCCCGAATACAACACGTGGGTTAAATGTGCACCTTCTCTGCTCGACACTGAGCTGTTAAACCGCCCTTTGACATCGCGGTTTCGGAGCGTAATCTAATCTAGCTTATGGCGAGGAAGGTGGTGAGGCAGCTTCCCAAGTGCCGCACGTTTTGGAAGCTTGCAAAGACCCCTCCTTTCCGCCTTTAGTCGAAGCCCACGCGAAGCCGCGGCGTGGAACGTCGAAGCTTTTGCGACATTGCCTGCTGCGCGGCCTGTCAAAACCACTTTCTTCACTAATCCCAAATACACGCAATCCTGTGTTCTGTGTGAGTTGTGTGTGATCAGGTCAGCATCTGGTTCTGGGCCACACCTACAAGGAACAATCAGCCACCATTTGTCAATTGATTGGAAGGGGGGCCACCCTAGCTCCTACAGTTGGGTCATTTTCCTGTTGAACACTTGGCTCGGCTTGCTTTTGGAATCACAGATCCTTTGGATTACGTAACTCTCACGTAATATATGGTGGTGGCTCTTGATTTTCAGGAACCATTGGGGATACAAATTAGGCCATTTTCCTCCAGTGCTAACAAGTGTCTTGTTCCTATTCTCTCTCTCTCTCTCTCTCTCTCTCTCTGTGTCTCTCTGTCTCTGTCTGTGGTTGTGGTTTATGCAAAGGACATTGTGTAATAAGTCGCAGCGAACATATGGTCTGTAACAAACTTAATGTTTCTGGAATACTAAATCAAACCCCTGGCCGTGATCTAGCGTGGATTAGAAAAGCATAGAATTGTATGAAACCGCGTTCAAGGCTTGTTCGGTGTTTATGTTGTGCCTGATCCAGTCCAGACGTATTCTACACGTACTGCTAGTCCAATTCCAGTTTGCTACGGCATAAAGTTACGTAGTAACCGTAATAAAATGCGACCCCTTGCACGTGGCCTTTCATATTATCTCTAGCTCGAAACAAAGACAGTGTGAGGGAGTTCAAGTCAATTTTCTAGTTATATTTGCATATGATCCTATATGATGTGGAATAGCGTGGTGCAATAGACACATTAGTTCATGGAATGTTCTAACATTACAAAAGTCATAGAACGTGTTCGCAATGCTCTGGGTATACATATCCATAAAGATCCCCGACTAGTGATCCTGCGATGGTCCATCGCAAGCTCGATCCCGTCGCCTGCTTGTCCCTCTTTCTCGCTCTTGGGCTTGCCACTCCAGGAATCAAGAAGGACACTACCTCCGCTGCCATCCTCCCGGCCGTCAACCGCCTCTTCCTCCGCATAAGTTGATGATTGATTCAATATGTCGAAGAGTTCTGTGAAACTGTTATTGCTGTGCAGTTGTCTACATCAATCCGGAACCCCCTGGTACATCTGCAGTGTAAGATTCTTTCTCTTTAGCGTTTCTGGTCTGATGATCGTGAGTTCACCGTGACCGTGACCGCAGTTTTCAGGTCGCCGCCAGGTGGTAAGGCTGAATGAACCAACAATCAATGTGTCTGCGTGTGTTTGGCATTTGGTTTCACAGGTCAAAGAGGCTTCGATTGCTCGCAATGCGTCGATTGCTGTTTCGCCTTCTATTGCATAATCCACGGTGAAGTTTGTGAGCATGTTAACGGTCTGTAATGCTCTTTTCATTGCTTGCATGGTTGATAAAATCTGCTTCCTCTGTCCAGTGCTTGAAGAATGCCACCAGAACTGCCCCTTCGAATGTGTAATCTAACATTCTCGTAAAGACTCTGTAGAAAATCTTCCATCGCAGCCAGCATGGTCTTAAAAATATCCAAAGATCCTCCCTTACATTGCACTCTCGTAAATCCCAGCAACATTGTCATGGCTCGAGAACGCTCAAGTCTCGTCTCTGGGATTTCCAAGAGACGACGAGAATTCCAGTCAGCGCGTGAAAGTCTGTCTCCCTCACCTTGCGATCTCGAAACATGCATAACTCCGTGCACTCCTCGCGATTGAAATATTAGGCAGATTCGTGCAGTTTTTCTTGCTTAACGTGTTGCAATTTATGGAGATGCTCCTGTTACAGCCGTTACTGTCAACTTGGCCGTCTAGATCCAAGTTCTTCCCATCATCTGTCAAAAAAAAGCTACTTCAAAATAGAATTAAAACATACCGCTAACTCGAAAGATCGGCAAGAAGACCGTGCACATCGGAAGAAAGCGGGCCTCGTCCAGTTCTACCAAAACAAACATCGAGGTTTGTGACGCTGCAACGTTACTTACATGTCCGATTAAAAACTCGTTTAAGAAACTGTATAAAACCGTGTTTAAGTCGATTGGCTGGTTGTTTGTGTATTGTCCAGGCCACGTATTCTCCATGTACTGCCAATCCATTTCCAGTTTGGCCACGGCATGAAGTTACGTAGTTCTACTGTAATGCAATGCGACCCATCCCTGCGCTCTATAACTCAAAAGACAGCCTGTGAGGGAGTTTAAACCACTTTTCTCTGCATAGATCCCATATAAGTAATATGAGGTGTGGAACAGCGTGTTGCAGCAGACATACATTAGTTCATGGAATGTTCTAACAGTACAAAGTCATAGAAGTGTGTCTGCTAGGCTCTGGGTATACATATAGAGAACAGTGCGACTGTAGTGATCCGGCAATGGCCGCTTGGAAGCTTGATCTCTTCGCCTGCTTGTTCCTTTTTCTCGCTCTTGGGCTTGCCGCTCCAGATCCTACAGAGAATGGAGAACACCACCTCCGTCGCCATCCTTCAGACCGTCAAGCTCCTCCTCTTCTTCCTGGTAAGTTGCTCTAGATTCCAAGATGTCAGAGCTCCTGTCAAACTGGCGGTTGTTGTTGCAGATTTCGTCGGTTTCCCTGGTAAGTCTACAGTGTAAGATTCTTTCTGAACTTCAGCGCTTTCTATCCGATGATCGTGAGTTTTGCCACCTCCGCAGTTTTCTGGTCGCCGCCAGGTGGTAAGGCTGAATGAGCCGACGATCAATGTGTCTGTGTGTGTGTTTGGCATTTGGTTTCGCAGGTGATAGAGACTTTGACTGTCAGCAATGCGTCGACTGCTGCCTCGCGTTCACTTGCATAATCCGCGGTGAACATTGCGAACAGTTTAACGGTCCGTAATCCTCTTTTCGTTGCTGCTTGATTTAATCTGCTTCCTCTTCGTCTTGCAGGCTTCCACTGTCCAGTGCTTGAAGCATGCAACCGGAACTGCCGCATGGAATGTTTACTCTAACCAGCAAGAATACTGGCCATGAACTTAACCTTGATTTTCTCGTAATTTCTTTGAGCATGTATCCAATATCGCAAAACGCATGATTCATTCTTATGAATTTGTTTCCTCGCGAATCTCATCAACATTCTCATGGCTGGAGAACGCACAATTCTCGTCACTCGAGCCAGCGACTGAAAGTCGGTCTCCCTCCTCTCCTTGCGATCTCGAAACAGGTGAACTCCGAGAGATCAAGACTGGCGACAAGGCCCTCTATCGAAAGAAAGGGGGCCTCGTTCAAACAAACAATGAGGTTTGTGATATATAGAAGGCATAAGAAAATGCAATGCTGCTTACCTTTAAGACTATCCAAGTAGTTGAACGTCAGGAAATCCTAAAAAAAGCCTGTGGCGAGAGCAAATGTGCCGACAGAATATACCGTAATACAATGCAACCCCTGCATGTGGCCTTGAATATGTTCTCGAACTCAAAACAAAGACAGTGTGAAACCAATTTTCTAGTAATATCTCATATGCAGTGAGGAACAGCGTGTTGGACGTACAGTAGTTCATAGAAGGTTCTAACAGAATGCTCTGGGTATACATATAGAGAACTTTCCCGACTGTAGTGCTCCAGCAATGACCGCTCACAAAATCCAGCTCATCGCATGCTTGTTCCTCTTTCTCGCTCTTGGGCTTGCCACTCCCACGGAATGGAGGACACCACCTTCCTCTGCTTCCTGGTAAGTTGCTCTAGATAGTGAATCAAGTCGAAGTGTTCCAGTCAAACTGCCAGTTGTTGCTGCAGATCCCTTGGTAAGTCCAGTGGAAGATTCTTTCTGAGCTTCAGCGTTTCTGATCCGATGATGACCACCGCAGTTTTCTGGTTGGAGCCTATCGGTAAGGCTAATGAGCCGACGATCAATGTGTCTGTATGTGTTTGGCATTTGGTTCCGCAGGTGGTAGAGTTTTCGACTGTCAGCTATGCGTGGACTGCTGCCGCGACTTCACTTGCATAATCCGCGGTGAACATTGCGAACAGTTTAACGGTCCGTACTCCTCTTTTCGTTGCTGCTTGATTCAATCTGCTTCCTCTTCGTCTTGCAGGCTTTTACTGTCCAGTGCAGCTTGAAGAATGCAACCGGAACTGCAACATGAAATGTTTAGTCTAACCAGCAAGCGAACTGGCTATACTTTACCTCGTAAATTCTTTGACTAGCTGTAGAAAATCTTCCATCGCTCGCAGCTGGTCTTAAATATCCAATATCGCAAAACGCATGATTCGTTTCTATCAAATGTTTCGTTTTCTCGTGAACCCCAGCAGCATTGTCATGACTGAAGAACGCAGAAGTCTCGTCGTCTGGGATTTCGGAGAGACGTCGACATATCCGGACTTTCAGCCAGTCGTTCTCCCTCTGCCTTGTGATCTCGAAACATGCAGGTAGAACTCCGTGCACTCAGATTCGTGCAGTTTGCTTGCCATTTTTTCCTGTGCATACAGGGTGTTGGGGATGTCACTAACACGAAAGATCAAGACTGGCGAGACGGAAGGAAGGGGTTCTGCCAAAACAAACAGTGAGGTTGGCGACATTAGAAACAGAAGCACAAGGTATAAGAAAATGCAATGCTGCTGACTTTTAAGACTGTCCAAGTGGAGAGTGATATAAAACATCAAGAAATACTCGTAAGAAACCTCTAGAGTCTGGGAAAAAAAACTTTTGGCGAGAAAAAGTCGAAATGTGTGGAGCAAGTTAAAGAATTAAAACCTTTGGTTTTAGCTTCAGAACTCTAAGTTTCTCGCTGGAGAAAAAAATATTCGGACTCCCTGTCAATCTGCTTTCCCGGAATATCATCTACATTAGTCGCCCCACATACAGACTCCTTGGGAAGCGCTCCTTGAGTTGAGGCCACTGGACGTAGAACAGATCCATGGCGTGAAGCCTGTATAGGATGAGGCCAGTGAGCGAGAGCTTCTGCACCCTGGCAATGCTTTCAATATACACCAGAGTCGCCCATTTCAGTCCCAAAACCTGCAAGCACGCAGTCCGTCCATCAAAATGTGATTTTTACTTCTTTTTCATTTTTCAACCTTCAACAAGAAAGCTGCGACGCAAACTGGCAGACAAGTCCCCGGTCCATTGCACAAAACCTGTGGACTTTTCTCAGCGACAAGGAGACAGCAAAAGAACTACGACTTGTCACTCACCACATCGGGTCTGATCCGGAAAACAACCCACAGAGCGTGGGCAATGGCCATCAAAGTCGTCACCACCGACGTTAGATACGACTGCCCGACCTCGCGGCTCCTGTAAATCTGGAGGTAGTGCCGAGCACCTTGCAAACATCCATCCTAGCAAAGTATATCGATCCTCTCTCATCCTGCGTGATCCACAAATAGACCCACCAGAGTAGCAGCAGACGACGATTTCTCCTCCGCGGCCCGAGCTCTCGGCAAGCTCATGTTGTCACTCGCGGCAGCCAAGTATATCCTGGGGCTGTATCTCTCCGAACGAAGCATCTCCACGACGTTCAACATCTCAGCCGTGTGCCCGCCTAGGCAAAAACAGTAAGAAAGCTCTTCACAATGAGATTCTTCGTCGATTACCTGATCCAAGAACAACGAGGGTCTTGAAGGCCCGGCTGCCCGGCGCACGCGGCTTCCCGGTGAATGCGTAGACGACGAGCAATCTCCATAGCACAAGACCTACAGCTGCCCCGCAAAACAGAGGAAACCAATCCTCCATTCCAACCTAGAACTAGAAAGACTCTAGGGCATAGTATAACTTACATTTACATTAGAACAAAACTACACCATAGCATTAAACTCGATGATAAGCCCAAGCTTTCTGATGGTCCCATGATCCATCAATCTCCATAGCTACAGCTAAGCTGATATCTAGATCAATCAAACCAGCAGTACCATCTCCCATTGTAGCTTGATCAGAGTAACCAACTCAACTCAGGATGATCCAGCAAAGCCATAGCTCTAGAATGGTCCTATCACTGAGGCTGTGTGGTACACTTTTGCTAGCTAGCTCACACACTGTGAGCCTGTGTGACACACACAAGACACACTACACGCGGGAGAGCTTGCCTTTATTCCATTTCCTTCTTCTCTTTTGCCTGGCCAGGGGCCACCAACAACGATTGAGCTAATAACTCCAAAGCCAGAGCTGTCGCAATTCCCACACGTAGTTTTCTTCTTTTCAAGAACTACTGCAAGTAGTATTTAGTGATCGTTTTTTTGTCACTGTGATCATCAATTTCACTGCTGGAACTTCACAGGCCCTCTGTTGAAAGATCTAGCGCTACAAGCCAAGCTCTCTCAGGCCTGGTACTCTTTCTCGCGGGTCTCTTTTCAATCTTTTCTTCTCTGCTTTCTAGCGAGCAATCGCCCAAAACGAAAAGAGGGGAGGATTGAGACGGCAACTTCTCTAGAAGCATGGAGCCATCCATCGTCCGCTTTTCAGCCAGTCCTGTGCTCGCTCGCTCGCTTTGCTGTGTTAGCGACGAAAAACGATAGCTCGACAATGCGAAGCTGCCCTTTCTTTCTCTTATGTTTTATAAAGATGGCGCAGAACAACCACGGAAGTATCTTTCCTTTCATAATCTGATCGTCGGTCAGGCTTTTCCCCACAAAGGAAGAACCGAACTCGTATCTTCTGATTCCGACCGAACGAACAGACGCACCATCGACTTTCAGGCCGAGAATCAGCAGCAAAATCCGCACTGAAGCAGCATTCCTCCTCCACCAACTGTACACCTTTCAAGAGAGCGGGAGAATTTCAAGGAAAAAAGAGAGAAAGCGAGAAAAAATCGAGGGAGCCGAGCGAGAGAGCTCGATCAGTCAACCGCCATCAATGAATTGATCGATCGGTCCCACCATGGTTGTTCTGTGTCTGTGCCCGTGAAGATCGATGATCGCAGAGAAAGGAGAGCCGCGACATGGATATGATCCAAGGGGGGGAAGAAAGATCAGACGTCGATCAACCTCCCGGAGGACATCCGCGTGGATCCAGAGAGCTCCCTGCTGCTGCTGTGATCCTTGGCGCCCACCACCTTGGGCTTGACGTCGTAGAGCATTTGCACCACGTCCCTCATGGCGGGGCGCTCCGCGGGCTGGTCGCTCGAGCACAGCAGCGCGACCCGGAGCACCAGCATCACCTCGTGCAGCGGCAGCAAATCCGTGGAACCCATCCGCGGGTCCAGGATGGCCAGCACTCCGTCCTTGGTCTGGATCATCTTGCGCACCCACTTGACAATGTCGATCTCGTCGCCATACCCCGGCTCGATCGGCCGCCGCCCCGTCACCAGCTCCAGCAGCACCACCCCGAAGCTGTAGATGTCGCTTTTCTCATTCACCTTGAGCGTGTAGGCATACTCTGCATGGGAATGGAAACGTGAGAAAGGTGGAAGAAAAGGTGGCCACGCAAAGCTGGCCGAGCGCTTGCTTACCGGGGGCGATGTAGCCGTAAGATCCGGCGACCGAGGACATGGACTCGGACTTGTCACTCCCCTGGAACAACTTGGCGAGGCCGAAGTCCGCGACGTGGGCGCGGAGATTGGAATCGAGCAAGATGTTGTTGGATTTGACATCGCGGTGGACGATGAGCGGCGAGCAGTCGTGGTGGAGGTAGCACAGCCCATTGGCCGCCTGGACCGCCACCTTGTAGCGCGTCTCCCAGTCGAGCACCGGGCACGCCTTCGTCCCAACTCCATGGAGCACCTCGCCGAGGCTGCCATTGGGCATGTACTCGTAGACGAGGAGATTGGTCTCGTGGTTGGAGCAAAACCCCAGCAGCTTGACGATGTTCATGTGGCGGATCTTGCCCAGCGTCTGGACCTCGGCCGAGAAGCCAAAGTCGTCGTGCGACGACCGGCTGCCCGAGGACCGTTTACCTGAGTTGACCGGGCACGACGCCAGCCGCTTCACCGCCACCAGCTCGCCGCTGCGCATCATCGCCTTGTACACGGTGCCCGACCCGCCCCGCCCGATCACGTTGTCCTCGGACAAACAGTCGAGGATGTCCGCCGCCGAGAAATCCAGCTTCTGGAACGCGGTCAGCTTCCACGGCCGCCGCCTCGATCGCCCACACGACGATCCTTTGCCGCCGCCAGGGAAGAGCACCACTGTGATGCACTCCTTGTACTTGCGCACGAAGAAGAAGGTGCCAAACACGCCCACCAGCAGCGCGGCCAGGAACATCGATCCAAACAGCCACCCGAACACCGCGCGGTCGCGGGCGCTCCTCGGCTTCCTCCTCGGGCTGGCAAGAACAGAGCAGTTCCTCGCGGTGGGCGCGCCACACAAGCCCAGATTCCCAGCGAAGGAGCTCTCGTTGAAGAATCCAAACTGGCCCTGCGATGGAATCGGCCCAAACAGCCGGTTGTAGGAGAAATCCGCGCTGGTGAGCGCCTTGGCCTCCTCCAGCTCGCGCGGGATCTCCCCGGACAGCCCATTCCGGCTCACATTCAGGGCATCCAGCGCCTTGAGCTGCGCGAGCTCGCCCGGGATGGCGCCCACCAGCTGGTTCCGGCTCAAATCCACGCTCGACAGCCTCACGCACGACCCGATCGATCGGGGGATCTCGCCCGAGATGGCGTTGCCGCTGGCGTCCAGCACGCTGAGCTGCTGGAGCATTCCAATCGAGGCCGGGATCCTGCCCGAGATCCGGTTGTCGCCCAGCAGCAAGTTCTTGAGATTGGTGAGGTTGCCGATCGCGCGAGGGATGCTGCCGCGGAGGCGGTTCTGGGAGAGATCCAGGAGCTCCAGCTCCACGGCGGAGACGGGCGCGTCGGCGATGATACCATCCATCCGGTTGTCGAGGAGCTCGAGCATCCGGAGATTGGGGAGGCCGAGCGTGTTCTTGGGCAGGCCGCCGGTGAGCTGGTTGTGGCCGAGACGGACGCGCACGAGGGTGTTGCACTGGCCGAGCGATTCCGGGAGGGCGCCGCCGATCTGGTTGCCGTAGAGGATGAGCACCTGGAGCGCTCCTCCCCAGCATATCTTGTCCGGGATGGATCCCGAGAGGGAATTGGAGGAGAGATCCACGGTCATGAGACTCAAGCTCGCCTGGCCCAGCTGGGGAGGGATGCTGCCAGTGAGATTGTTCGCCCAGAGCTGGAGCACCTCGAGGTTGGGCAGATCGCCGAAGAAGGATGGGATGCTCCCGCTCAGCCGGTTGCGGAAGAGATTGACCAGCGCGATGCTCTCCAGCATTGCGAGCTCGTCGGGGATGGGGCCGGAGAGGAGATTGTTGGAGAGGTCGAGCGACTTGAGCGCGCTGAGGAGGCCGATCTCGGCCGGGATGGGGCCGGAGAGGTTGTTGATCTGCAAGAAGATGGAGTCGAGGCGCGAGAGGTTGCCGATCTCGGCAGGGATCCGGCCAGTGAGTCCGCAGAAGCCCAGATCGATCCGGACCAAATTCGCTAGCTTTCCAATCTCGCGAGGGATGCCGCCCTCGAACTCGTTGTAGTAGCCGAGGTAGAGCTCCTCGAGCTCGCCCAGGTTGCCCAGCTCGGGGGGGATCCGGCCAGTGAGGGAATTCCCGGAGAGCGCCAGATAGCGCAAGGTGGTGAGGTTGCCAAGCTCCGGGGGGATCGCGCCCGAGAAGTAGCTCCCGCCGAGGTGGAGATGGCGGATGGATTGGAGCGCGCCGAGCTCGGGCGGGAGGGGGCCGGAGAAGTTGTTGTTGTACGTGTCGAGCACCTCGAGCGTGGCGATGGCGGAGAGGTTGGCGGGGAAGCCATAGCCGAAGTTGTTGTGGGAGATGTTGAGGAAGCGGAGGCGCGGGAGGAGCGAGAGCTCGGGCGGGAGAGGCCCCGCGAGATTGTTCTGCTCGAGCGAGATGTTGACGAGGTGGCGGAGGCGCGCGAGAGGGAGCCCCGAGAGGGACCCATTCAAGCTCTTGCCGCCCAGGTTGAGCGCCGAGACGAATCCATCGTCATCGCATTGGATCCCCGTCCACGAGCACGGCGACGAATCCGACGCTGACCAGTCGTTGGTGTGCCCGAATTCGTCCACCAGCAACTCCTTCACGCCCAGCAGCGCCGCCACTTCCTCGCTGCCCGCCACCTCTGGATCTTGCGCTGCATGGGCCAGGATGATCGCGAGCGCGATCAGCAGCAGCCGCATTGCGATTCGCGACCCCCTTTGCTTCCAATGCCCCCAGCGCGCTAGCCAGCCCGGGATTTCGACTCACCCATTTTCGCAACCCATGGATCGATCGCAGTAGTAGCGCGCGCGCGCTGTGCCAAGATCTCCAGAGAAATCCTCGCTTTCCTTTAGTGTTGTGAGCAAGTGGCGCTTCTTCTTTTTCTTCTTGGGTCAATCAAGCCCTCAAGAATGTGAGTGGCATCTACCCATGCCATGCCCCACATTTATATACATAGCCTCTTTCATCCATGGCCATGCATGGATCCCAATGGCCATCATTTCACACTTCAGTAAATACATCATGTGGGCTAGCTGTCCACATCGGAACGCTAGCCCGTACGCCCTAAGTCCACCTGGCACCATCACGCCCGCACATCACGCCACGCGTACGGGAGATTCCCGGCCGCATATTCCGCTCCAGAATGTGAGACAAGGGAATCTCTGCAATGCAAACAACGCCGAAAGGATGAGACTAGGAGAAGCTCTGGACAGATCGAATTGGAATAAGGCTGCCATAGTTTTCGTCCCCTATTGTATAAAAGTAGATTGCATTGCACTGCTATACAAATATTTCTATACACGTCCGAGCTGGCTGGCTGATTTGATACAAATCTGGCGGGCCGCCCGTATAAACTGTACCAATTTTGAAATACGTTAAGCTCCCATGGTTTCTCGCGCTACTGTGACAGTGAGTATGTACGTACGTGTACACTAGGGATAAGCACATGATTCCAAGGGTATCTTTGTTCATTTTGGGCAACTTGGGTGACACACCAGTCACACACCTAACAATCTCACTCTCGCGCCCGTTATTTATGTGTGGCTTTTGTTCTATATTCGTTCTTGGGGAGACCCTTGTCTTGTACGTAATTTCAAAACCATGGGACAAGGAACAGGCGTCATTGAAAATGCGTTGTTGCACTAACCAAGGCCTGTATATTCCCCTCACAAGAGAATGATACAAATAGAAAGGGGGAGCTGTGTGTAATGTAATGTGTGAGTGAACCCTCCAACCAAAGCACCAGCATGGACGGGGGATTTGTTTGAGCGATCGGGGTCTCAATCGCTGCTCGCTGTGCCGCTTTGATTTAGAAAGAGTGGGAGATTGATTGGCATATAGTTTACAAGGGCTTCGCGATTGATTGTTTTGACCATGGTTTTTCGGCTCTCTTTTTCGCCACCCAAGACAAGACAACTTTATGACTTCGTTGGTGGGGGGCTGATCGATACTTCATTGCGTCCGCACTAAACCCCCACCTAAAGGTGTTTTACCCGCTTTCTAACCAGTCTTGACCCGGCCGTTGACTATATGACCCTTTTTTGTCAAAGCCCCTCGCCCTCCATTATTCCTGGCAAAACAAAAAGACTGCGCCAAGATTCGCCCACGCATCATTCGCTCATTCGTTTCGCTCATTCATTCATCCATCGCGCCCCGCCCAAGTCGTGGCTCAAGGAGATGGAGATTCAGCTGGTAGTGCCCTGTGTGGGCACAAAGTTGCTCAATTATATTGCCCGTACAATGATTCATAGCGGGAGTTCTTTGGAATGGAGCTGAGAAACAAGTCCAACCACGATTGGTGGCGAGGTGAGGACCATCTCCAATAAAAAACGCCACCCCTACCGTCGATCGCTTTCGACGCTCCTGTCGTGGTTCGTCGCCATCCATCCAGCGACGTAAAGAGAAGGGGGAATCTCACGGGTCATGCTCTTCGCATCTGGAAGATTCTTTCCCTTGCCCTCTCTCCCTCTCGCTCACTCGTTTGTTGCTGGCAGAAAAGAGCGTTCTTGCTTTCTAGATCCTCAGCTTTACCAAAAACAAGAGTACCTTTCGCGCCACCTGATATCTCGCCATGTTATGGATGCGTCTACATCCGTCACCTTTAATGCCCTAGCCCCATGCCATGCATTGCATGCATGGGCAATGCCACCATGCATGCACATAGCAAAAAAAGAGAAACAAACAGTGAAAAGCTGGCCGAGTGATCATGCAAACGTCGGGAACGAAAGCAGTGATTCCATTCAGCCCTAATCTTTGTTGGGGATCATGGATTCCTGGCCGAAAGCAAGCCCCGGGGATAAGTGCACGCTTCCATTCCCATAAATTCCGGCGACATAGGTGACTTAATCAAGATGGTCCACATTATAACCGCAGAATCACTTTGTTTTCGCTCCAGGTGAAATTTTGTCTCTAGCCTGGGGTTTTTATATTCAAATCCAATCCAGCTCCAAGATTATATCACCAAAACGCTGATCCAGAGACAGTTGCAGTCGCAGAGGAGCAGCAGCAGGAGCAGCAGCAAGGTCGTGATTGATCTCTCGGATTAAAGAAAAGCAAAAAAAATCAAACGGAGTTCCCGGGGAGAAAGATTGCAACCCAAGCGAACTCTGGCCTGTACAGCGTTCCAGTGCCAGTGCCCAGCTTCAATTATGGCTAGAGACCCTCTCCATCACAACAGAACAAAAAACCAAGCCACCAACATAACGCTAAAACCACACGCCGTACGGAAAAGCGTGGTAACGGTTGGGCTGACGGCGGCTGTACGGCCGCGTGGCCGAGGCGGTGACGGTGACGGTCGGTCAGCGGTGATGGTTTTCTTTCTCCCTCCTCCTTGAGGATAGCTCTAGAGATTCGCATATTTTCCATGGATGGGAGGACCCATAGGTTGGTGGAACGCCAACTTCAAGAGTGACTTCTTTGGATGGTCACTTTCGGGGTCATAGATCGATTACAGCGAAAGGTTTTCGTTTTCGCGTGTGAGAAGTGGAGCTTTCCGGGAATGAATGCCCCCTGGGTTCTGTGTTCTTCTTCTTCTTCTTCCCCTTTTCTTCGTTCTAGTGGGTCCGGTGGATCGGATTGATTGAATTGGGTTCTTGGGGTTTGGTCTGCTGCTGGATGGCTCAGCGCTGCTGGCTCCTGCCAGTGACAAAGAAATTGGAATGGACCCTCTTACTTTGCTCGCTTTCCCTGCTTTTACTGCGACATAAGCATAGTTAAAGACGCACTATCCAAACTGCAATTGCTCATCAGCATTGAGCATTTTGTGCCTCCCTTTTCCCCCAGTCATCCAGTCAGTGAAAGTGGGCTTTCCGAAATGATTACCATGCTGCTGTTTGTCAACAACACCGGAATCATTCGCGGCGCGTGGCCAGTTTCGTTTCAAGCTCAGTAATATGACCGAGATCTCTGTCCTCCATCACCCACATTTATAATTTTCGCAGTTGGGTGCATATTATATGGAGTTTTTCTCCTCCCAAATCACTCGCAACTTCCATTTCGTCCATGAATTTTGATGATAGTGGAGCAGTGCCGTGTGGTCGTGTTGCTCAATCGGGGAATTCCGTCAACCCAAATGGGGCCCTTGGCCAATTTCGTGGATTCATACATCGATTGGATTGTCTACCTAAGAGGCAAACTGTTGCTGGAATGTTTCTTGTTGGCACCACCAAAACTTTTGAATACCGATCGCTCGCATATTCCGCTTGCATGAGTTAGAAGGCGACGAATCCGGTACGGTATAGTATACTCTGCTCGTATTCATTTGTTTTGTCTACCAATTGGCATCGGCGCGCGCTGGTGTCGCTTCTCCTCGATTTAAATAACCAAAAGAGTCACGGGCTCAAAAACTTTGGAATCAATGAGACTTTGGGGATGGATCGATACTTCATTCAATGGGGTTTGTCAAATTTGAGAGAGAAAGAGAGATTCTAGAGAATTGTTTAATCCAGCTGCGATTTGTCAGCAAATTTTTTTGGAGGAAGAGTCGACAGTGTTGACTGGAAAAGTGGAAATAGTTGCATTGCATGCATATGGAGGACGCCAAGCAACGCTATGGCGGAAAAGACTGCCTTTTCCCAGTCTTTGGAAGGATTTGGAAGTGCAGCCTGTAAAAGCTGATCCATCAGCCCAAATGCCTTGAAAAGTTAGGCACAGACGCTGCCCGTTTTGATTCGATTACAGTTCAAAGCGATCCCGCGGCCTCGTGATCAACAGCTCTAAACCCAAGAACGTACACTACGTATGGAAAATACTCTTAAGAATTGAAGGAAATTCCATGAACAAGAAGAAGGAGACATGGCCTTTACGGGGAGGGAATCTCAATCTGTCTCTCTCTGTGTTGCTGTAAGCTTTGCCTGGATCAAACAAAGAGACGAGAGGTGACAAACTTTTAAATAGAGAGAGAGAGTTGGATCAATCAAGGTCGCACACGAGCTTGAAGCTTTGGAATCGGCTCTTTCGATGGTTGAGCTCGCTGCACCAGTTGTAGCTCGTCGTCTGGTCGAACACGGCGAGGACGGAAGCCGAAGGACAGCCCCTGCCCTGATAGACGACGAGGGTCTCGTTCTCTGATCTGGGGACGAACTCGAGGCCATACATGTCCACGTCCTGGCAAGTGTTGCACAGGATGTCCGCCTGCTGGATCACCTCGATCAGGCCGCAGGTTAGCTGCACGCCCACGCTGCAGTGGCACGGCGTCGGGATCGAGCTGCTCGCAAACACAATCACGATGATCATCGCCATCAAGTTACGAATCATCGTTAATTTCTCCTCGAGGGAAAGAACACTTTAGCTCCGTTTTATTTCTCTCCACGCATGCCACCACGCATTGCACACAAGCCCACCTACTGTGGGAATAGTCGAAAAGTGTGGATGTACGTAATAAAACAAGGTTTTATATTTCCAGGATTCTGGACTGTTCGACTGAGCTTAATAACTTGTAATCCACGTGGAATCTGACGTGGATAGAGTTTGATGAGGTGGCAGATTTAGGGAATCTTCTGGATCTGGGCGGGAAGATGGTGAAAACAAAAGCAAGGGTGGCAAGCGCTAGGAACAACATCACAAGTTGAGGATGTAGGCATTACAGGCTAAGAATCTTGGAGTGAGGCAAGGCTTCACCCCTTCGAAAACTGCGACTTTTGGGCTTAGGAACTTCAGTGAGAAAGAAGAGAGGTTTCTAGTGAGAAACTCTTTGTAACTTGCAACTAACTGCAATTTATGTTATTTAAGTATGCTGAGAAGATCTGGAGTGCTTGTTGAGGAGCTTAGGGCTTGGCTAGGCCTTGTAAAGTTGTAGGGAGGGAATCTCTGAGTGTCTTGCAAACAGCTGTGGAGACACAGAGTTCCCTAGCAGCTGGTGAAAAGCATCTCCAGCAAGTGGGAGCAGCCACTTGGCATGTGGAAAACCTCGCCACCTTTGTGGACAAGCTT